TGAGCATCAGGGCACCAGTTTGGATCCCACATGAGGGCCAGTGACACTGCCCTCTACAGCTAAGATGGTGAACAACAGCTCAACCTGGAGCTGGGCTGCAACGTCCTCCACAACTAGACTGAAGAACAAAACGACAGCAACTTGTCTGTTCCCCTTCCCCCAATTCGCCAGCGCTGTTCCTGTCCCCCAATTCCCGAGTAAAAATCTTTAAAAAAAACCCAAGATTTGTTAACAAGTCCTGGGTTTTCTGCAAGGGCTTCATTAATTTCAGTTACTTCTCCTGATAGAGGAGAATAGAGTTCACTAGCAGCTTTCACGCTTTCCAAAGCACAAAATTCATCTTGTTTGTTCAATTTTGTCCCAACTTCAGGCAAACTACAGTAAACAACATCTTCCAAAGCTTCCTGTGCAAAATTCCTGATTCCCACTCTTCCAACACAATTTTCTGTAGTTATCTATTCATGTTTCTCTGTGAATTTAGGCACCAAGGGCAGATTGGGGCCGCTTTGCAGCATCTGGACGGCGCCCACCCTCAGGCCCCAGGGCCAAGGCGCTGAGGCAGTGTGCAGGCTGCAGGCCACCTCCCGCACGTCCCGCACTGCTCGCAGTGCTATACTGGATGGAGTGCCTGATATATGGATTTTTTTACCACCCTTTTATTGCTACATATTTAAATTGTCTTTTGATAAAGATAATTTGTATGACAAACAAAACTACAATAAACACCTTTTTTGCTAAATATGACTATATACATCCTTACTTTTTCTCTTAAATAAGTTCACTGAACTTAGTATATGATACGGGTGGTGCTTAAAATCAGGGAAAAGGGGGTGGCGGGTTAGCTCAGGTGGCTAAAGCACAGTGCTCATAACACCAAGGTTGCTGGTTCTATCCCCACATGGGCCACTGAGATGTGCCCTCTACAACTAGATTGAAACAACTACTTGACTTGGAGCTGATGGGTCCTGAAAAAACACGCAGTTCCCCAATAAAAATAAAATAAAATTTAAAAATCAGGGAAAGGGATAAATTATTCAGTAAATAATGTTGGCACAACTGACTAGTCATTTAGAGAAAAATTTTATTCAATCCCTACATCATTCTTTATGTAAAAATAAATATTAAAAAGATAAACATTAAAAAATCAATATAGGCCTTTTGAGCTTCCTTTGCTCAGCTCACTCCAAACTCTTTGGAGTGTACTTTCTTTTCTAATAATGTCCCTTGAACCATTGTCTACTGCTTGGGCCCGCTTCTGCTTCTTTGAAATGTATTTTTACTTCTAAGAAACTCCTTTTCTGCAACTTAAAAAAAAAAATCAATATAAAAAAGTTTTAGTAGAAAACACGATTAAATGTTTTTATCTTAGAATGGGAAGGCATTTGTAACACAACACAAAGTTTTGAAATCACAGAGTAA